AGGCTAGTGGGAGACCAAGAACGCAACAAAAGTAGCTACTCCCACACAAAATTCGACATACACCCGAGAGAAAGAAGGCAAATGCTGAATAAGTGTCAGTTAATTCTAGCCACTGGAGGAACAGTAGCCCAGGACCTGACCATGCAATGGTCCACCATGGGTGGTTTTATGCAAGAGCTCTCCCTCCTAGTCATTGATGAGGGCCAGCAATATGGCACTGACCGAGAAATTGCAGTCATCAGCTTACTGAGACAGCAACCCCTGGTCTTGTGAACAGGAGACTCTGAGCAGACACCCGGCGGAATTGATCGTGCAGCTCGCAACGCGAAACGATCACGACAGCTCCTGTTGGCCAAGAAGCATGGGCTACGAAGTGACCGCAATTATTATATGCCAGCCAACCTTGCTGATGCAATGATCCGACTACTCGATGGTTCGGCCAATGAAGGCTTGGCGGCCCTCAGTCAAATCCTCAAACGAGGACAGCCCACTCTAGGTCAGCTATGGACAAGTCACCTCTCGCCGCAGGATGCAGAAGACCTTACAGGATGGCCTGGTCTTACTTATCTACTTATAACTAGGTTATAATATGGTTTTAACATGTATAACTTGTCTTTAAATTGGTTTTAAGTAGGTTAAGTAGCATTTCTACTTATCTACTTAAATCGTACTTATAAGTATCTATAAGTAGGTTGTTCTACTTATTAAGTAAAAATAAGTAGAAATAAGTAGCTTGATGTTATGACGACATAAGTAGGCTAACCAACTTAGTTCGACTTAGGGTCTACTTATTTCTACTTATCCTACTTATGCAAAAACCTTTCTTTTTTAATGTTTGTGTGTTTGAATCGATTTCTTATCATCATTTCATGTGATTTTCTACAAGTTGCATTGAATGAAATTAAGTTCATTTTTGTGTGGGAAGGTTGCATAGGATTTGTTCAGCCGGTTGCAGTGTGTAATGATGAATGGAAGGATTTGGATTTGCATTCGGCAGTTCATGTGTTTTGTAATAGGTGGCTAAGAAGTTGAAGGATTTAGCAGATATGACGGTGATTCGGATTTCGATATATTGCATGGACCTTTTATATTATCTATGAGTTGTTGTTGTTTTTGCCAGAGCGGTGTGGCCGCTGTAAGACTATTGACTTTATTTTTTATTATATGGTTATATGATTCTATATACAGGTAAAGCGGGTAAGCGGTTTGTCCGCTATTATTTCTGTACATCGTTGTGCATTTCAGCGGTTTGCTTGTTTTGCATTTTCATATATATATATAATTCTCTGAAAGTCTGCGACATCATGGATCTGCATTGTTTTCATCTCCGCGTTGGCTTGCCAGTTGTGTCAGTAGATTTATCTGACATATATGACCTATATAGAGAGCAAAAGTGTCTTGCATTTAATATCATGTTGTGCAGGGATATTTTGAATGTTTATGTTATAATCGACGATGGGCCAATCGCTGACGGAGCTGGAGCCTCCGCCACATGGAAGCGGCCCACCAAATCCTGCGGAACCTGATGAAGTTCCATTCATGCGGCCGCGCCCGAAACGAAGGTTGCCGCCTGGTCCATATGCCAAGACGTCAGTAGAGGAGCATTCGGTAGCAAAAGCAGCTGGACCACGACCGTTGCCAAAACCTCCGCCACCTGCAGCACCTCCTGCTGCAAAAGCTGGGCCCGTCGCTAAAGCTTCTGGAGCTGCAACTGCTTGTGGAGGAACAACTGCAAAGGCGCCTCCGGCTATGGCGAAAGGACCTTCTGCTTCCAGCACTGCAAAGGCGACTCCGGTTTTGGTGAAGGTCTCTCAGAGTGAAGGATATGCAGGACTTTTCTGTTATGTTGAGGGGTGGCATTTTTGTTTTCGATTTGATGGGTTATGACGAAGTGTGACCACTATGTATTATATATGTGTGATAGAGGTTGTGTCGCTTTTTCTTTATATATTGCTTGGATCCTCCAAGCACAGGTTTTATGTGACCTAGTCATGGATTGCCCCAAAGCGGTGTGACCGCTGTAAAGATTTTAGAAATAGTAGTTGGAACTTCGAACTATAGTAGACATTTTTGAGCGGAAAGACCGCTTTACAGGAGCACCTTGGAGAGTGAATCAACAGGCGCGGTGGCCGAAGCATGGTCTGCCTGCGTGTCTGAGATTGGCTGTGGCCGAGCGCGACATGGAATACCGTGCCATGCTGCATGCAGCTAGCAGCTCACCTGGCCCCTCGATGGCCGAACCGTCTACAACGACCACGGTAGCTCCTGCAGTTGGCAGCGCAGCGAGCTCTTCGCTGTTGGACGAGTTGGTGCCGCCAGCAGTCAAAGCAGGTCACTATGTGGTGGAGGCTTCTCATGATGTTCCTTCCTTCGCTGCTATGTCGGTGCCAGTGATGCCGACCACAAGCGGTGCTCGTGTCAAAGCTGCGGCACCTCCTATGTTGCCACGTTCCCCTGAGAGACGTTCAGATGCTGCAACCGGTGACTTTGATTTCCGACCCTGGGAATCGAGTCGAGAGCGCCAGTGGAGGTTGTATGGCGTATGGCGCTGCCGCGGTGGCCGCCGACAGGACGAATTCCGGCGCAGATGAGTTCCCAAAAAGTGTTGCTTGCCGTTTGCGCCATTTTTAAATATAACTTGGAAGTTATTTTCTTCTGAGCGGTTTGGCCGCTGCTAATCTGTCACGATGATGTTGCTTTGTGGATATAGATTGTTCGAGATTAAGTTTGAATAAACGGTTGTGCCTGGTGTTAGCGGTGTGTCCGCTTTTTCTCATGGGAATTTGTGTGGTGAGAGGTTAGCGGTGTATCCGCTTCACTTTAATTCATGTTACGTCGATGTGAAACTTGATGTCTGCTCTCTATCCAGGTTGCTCAGCTTATAGCCATGACACATGTGACTCGACTGTGTCAGCAATGACTGACCGTAGAAAGAATCAGAACTATCATTCCCTTCCGCACTATCTCACCAACGAGCTATGGACATGCATCTCAACGGACCCCCGAGAGAAGTCGCAGGTCAAATTGTATTGGCATGCGTGGGTGTTGGGGCTTCGGTGCCCTTCAGAGATGACGTTCGCAGTCATGGATATGATTTTGCGTTTGCATGGTCCATCGGAGATGGCTCGAAAAGCTTCCTCTTTTGATCGTTACCATGAGATTGGTGAGATGAAGAAGCATTGGAGGAGATTTAAACAATCCAGGATCCAGGCTGGGGAAGACACTACCTATACAGATTACATGGAACAGCTCCCCAGGGAATGCTCTGATCTTCCTGCTGGGTATTACTTGGCAGCTTTTCAGTATGAGGCGCCTGAGCCGTGTCGTCACTGGAACGGATCAGTTTGCTGGTTGGATTTTTCAGTTTGGATGAAACCTCCAGAGGTTCGATTTCATTTTTTTAGTTATGTCATACCCAGGTATACCACTTGATGACCTCCTGACGGCGATAGGCGCTTCCAAGCTGCGCCGGTCCAAAGAGAGTACGCAAGGCAACACTGCTCCTGAAGAACCTGAGAAGTATAAGTTGATGGAGTTTGCCTTTCGAATGGGACGGTCGAGCCTACCTTCAGCCTCTTCGGTTGCACCGACTCCCAACCCAGAGCAGCTTGCCGCACCTGCTTTTCCGGCCTTGGAAGATGGTTCGGTTGATGGTCCAGCTTCTGCAGACACAGTTCCCAAGGCGAGACCTGTTGCTGAAAGGTGTTGCAAGTTCCAAAGACTTTGTGTCTTTTTGGGATAGTTCATTGGAAGTATGTAGTCCTTCGTGCAGGAGATGGATGCGCCGGACTGTGATGACGTCACGCAGATGGGCACTGCCGAGGAGAGGACTACAGACCCAGGTCATGAAGACGTTGCTTTCCCTGGGTTCGAAGGTGATCAGACTGAAGCAGACCCGGTCAGTAAGATGCAAGAGGCTTTGAAGTTGCGGGAAGAGTCCAAGGGCAAGGTCACTGCACCAAACAAAGAGAGCCAGCTGGGTGCCAAACCAAAGTCCACGTGTGCCATGAAGAGGCCGGCTTCCGCCAAGATGGTCACGGCGAAGGCGAAAGCCAAGTGTGCCATGAAGGTTGCTCCAAAGGGCAGTGCTAAAAAGGCAGGGTATATTCTGGTTCAAAAAGGGCTTTCAGTCACACCACTTTTTTTCCTTGAAAGGGTTCCGATTTCCCATGTAGGTCGACAAAAAGACGCAGAAGAAACCGGCCAAGCAGGTGAAGATGACTCGCTCATGCGTCTATTCGAGAGCCTACCACCACATGAAATGCCGCCAAACAGCAAAAAAAAACAAGACAAACATCATCTGTTGGTTTTGTTTTTTTTTTGGAACGTAAACTATAGCGAGCGGTGTGTCCGCTTCATATACATGTTTCTAGCGGTGTGACCGCTGAATGACTAAGCAAGTAACGCGTCATGTTTATTGACACCATGTGCCAATATATTGGGTATATTTTTTTCCTTTGCATACCTAGGCAAGCTACTAGCTGATGGCAAATTGTCCGAAGAGATGATCACCAAGAAAGCCAAAGCTGCTGGTAACGCAGCTGTGAAGAAGGTCTTCCATGTCAGCTGAGCCAGACAGAAGTCTGATTTTGAGCGATGCCACTTCGAATCTATATCGGCAAAAGAGAAATGACAAAGGGTATCTGTTGGGTTTGTCACAAACTTGGAACAATATTGAATTAAACTGGCATCGAAAATGTTAGTTCATTTGTGCTTTAGATGTGCTTTGTTTGGTTCGAAGCGGTTTGACCGCTCCAAGCGGTTTGTCCGCTCGAGGTAGCATATGCGTGTAATGGCAAATATTTAAATAAAATAATATATATATACATGTAAATTGGTTGGTTTGTTTTTTTTACCAATAAATACATGAACAAAAATAATGACACATATACATATTATATATATATATATACATGTGAAACTAGTTCTCCTTGCTTCGAAAAACTTCGAATAAATCCCTGCAGGTGTTCGATCTCTAGTTGTTGATGAAAATGGCCCACATGGGCGGCCGCTTCGAGTATAGCTACATCTCATGGAGCACCATGGAAGGCAACAACGATGCAATCTGGTGGGATATGTGGGCCAGGAACAAAGCTTGGACGGTCTTGCCTCCGACGCAAGAGCAAAGGCATCGCCGTTGTGGCGAGGCGTTGTACCTCGGCGACGGAATGGTGAACGTGAAATTTTGCTTCGTTCACCATCCGAACATGGACTTGAAGCCCACCTGGAAGATGCATCTTGGGCAGCAGTTGTTTAGCTTTCTTGCAAGGGGACGTTTTGGATGAAAGAACGGCAGTGCTAATATCTCTTAGAGTGGTGGATGTGTTGCTGGAGGTACATCGCTCGAAGTGGCATCGCGATCATCGTGCGACCAACTGGAAATCCTCAAGGCCTCAAAGTCTTGAAATTTGTTTGGCATCGCCAGACCAAAGCAGTGGACGTGGTGTCTGCCTTGCATGGAGAGCTGGTGGTGACGCTTTCTAGCAAATGGGGGCCCACGAGCAAATTTGTCAAGGCGCATGCGGGCAGGTCTAAAATTTTTGGCAAACCATGGCCAAAACAATTATAGCTGTGTATATGTTGCTTAGTTCAACAAAAACTATATATATATCCTTGCACGACGCATAACATTGGAAACTAATTTTTGTTTCTGCAGCCGTTTGGTTTCCGCTGAGCGGTTTGACCGCTTTTAATATATATATATATATATGCATATATAGAATGATTCCGCTTATATCAAACTTCAAACGAGCTTGTGTGTCTGCAGCGGTTTTTTTCCGCTTAGCGGTTTGACCGCTTTTATTATATATATATATGTATAATGATTCCGCTTATATGAAGCTTGAATCGAGCTTCTGTGTCTGCAGCGGGTTTTTTCCGCTAAGCGGTTTGACCGCTTTTATTATATATATATATCTATATATGTATAATGATTCCGCTTATTTGAAGCTTGAAACGAGCTTCTGTGTCTGCAGCGGGTTTTTTCCGCTTAGCGGTAAGACCGCTTTTATTCTATAGATATATAGTATTTATATATATATGTATATATATAATGACTCCGTTTATATCAAACTTGAAACGAGCTTGTGTGTCTGCAGCGGTTTTTGTCCGCTTAGCGGTTTGACCGCTTTTATTATATGAAGCCTACTTCGGACGGGATGATGAGGTTAGGCAAGAACGACCATCTGGCCCTGGGAATTTCAAGCGTAGAATGATTATGTTTTTTGTCCTCTTAGCGGTTCGCCCGCTTTTTTTTGAGTATAGCCGGGGCTTGAGCTTGCCTTCTAGAAACATTCATTTACACATGCGGACAAACCAGCTCGCAGCAGTGATGTTGGACTCAGCTGAGCTAACAAACAAACCTGTCGTCTGGGCAGGTGATGACTGCGTTTCTTGAGCAGGCGGATGGGACGACCGGCCGAGAAGAGTTGATCTTGGGCAGCTGCCAAATCGCTGCTATGGTGGGCGATCTGAGGCTTCCAGCTGCACTTTTTGAATTGCCCTTGGGCACCCTCTTTGAGAAACCCGATGCGGTGCAGGAAGCTCTGGCGGCCGTCGAAAGCGAGCAAGAGCGTTTGATGCGACGGTCCGTTTTGATTTGGGGGGGAAAAAATCATAACGAATGGGTTTTGGCAGCTTGTCATTACATATATTTATATATATATTTTTTGTTTAAACAAAAAAAAGAACAGCTCCACGGCAGGTGGATTGCGGAAGGATTTTTTCCGGCGCAAGAGGTGGCGCCAATGGTTGTTGGACCTCAAGAAGTGGCCGACAACCCTGGCCAGCGTGGTGGCAACAATGTCCGTGCTGGGAGAAGCAGAATGAGGAGGCCAGCGGCCGCTGTGCGAAAACCAATGAAGAAACCATCGGCCAGGTGATAGACTGAGATCGGAGGAAGAACCCATCGGCCAGGTGATAGACTGAGATCGGAGGAAAAAAAAGAGGTGTGGTCGTTTGATTTCTTTGGGGGCCATGGGGTTTTTCGCAATCATATTTGAGCGGTATTTCCGCTAGCAAACAAGCAACCATGATTGAGAGCGGTGTGGCCGCTGAGCGGTGTGTCCGCTGGTTTATGTTAATCCATTTCCTCATCAACTCGATCCATACCCTATCTATACCCTATCTATACCCTATCTATACTTCCGTTCTGATTTCTTCATTTTTCATCTACCCTATCTATACCCTATCTATACCCTATCTATACCTCCGTTGCGATTTCGCAACTTTTTCTCTACCCTATCTATACCCTATCTATACCCTATCTATACCCTATCTATACTCTCGCTGTGTTTTCGGTGCTTTTCATCTACCCTATCTATACCCTATCTATACCCTATCTATCGACCATCTATATGATATCTATTCGTAAAGTGCCTGCTGGCAAGTGTTTTTGCTGGCAATTTCTCCTTGCTGATCTCACTTTCACCGTGGCCAACATTTGGATGTAAGTCTGTAGTGGAAGTGTGTCTTCTGTCCAACTTTGCTGCGCACATGGCTTCTTCCGTTGCGTTGGTGGAGACTCAGGAAGGTGATGTTGCAAAGGCGGCCGACAAAGCCTCTTGCGTCAAGTGCGGCTGCCCGACTGACGACTTCGACAGTCACTCGTTACAGTGCCGTCAGTGCTGGAACGTGCACCAGATCCTCTATCGACATCTTGGTGGAGCACCGTCCACTTTGCAATCGCTGCAGCCTGATGAGCAAAAGAAGTTCTTCAAGGACGTGGGAAGCAAGATGAAGATCACCCCGAAGAACGGCAGGTGGGCACTTGTTAGAGCTGCCATGGTCAAGAGCATCACACATTACAGGAAGGAAGAACGTGTCAACAGCGTCAAACGCAAATTTTTGCCGTTGTCAGTGCTTGAGAAAAAGGGATACGATGTGGATGCTATCAAGGCTCATGGAGACCGTCGCGAGGACGAGGCACCTGAAGTGGTGTATATGCCAGAATTCACTCATGTCAGCTCTCAAACTTTCTTCTTGCATACTTGTTTTGGCGGTGTGACCGCTTCTGTCTGCTATTGTGAAATCTATAGGTATGTCGTCGAAAGAAAGTATGGGAACACTCTTGTGCGGTGTGACCGCAGCGGTTCAACAGTTGATATTTCGATTTCCAACCATTCATGGTTCAGGTCTTTGGCGAGGTGTTTGCGGCACCCATTCTGACTATTTCCAATGATGAGATTCAAGGAGAAGTTGAGCAAGAACTAGCGCAGAAGGAATGGGCACTCAAGAGCAAGAAGAAAGGTGAAAGGACACAGAAGCCTGTAGCCAATGGGGCCTCCGATCAGGCCATTCCTGTGGAGGACGAGGTCTGGGAAGTGCCGTCCGATGATGAGCCAGCCCGCGAGCCTGCTTCCAAAGCCCCTAAGAAAGGAGTCGACAAGGAGGAACAGCAGGCGGCTAAGGAGGCAGCGAAGCAGGTGAAGTTGCGGGAGAACGCGTGGCACAGGGAGACCGCCAAGGCCGCAAAGGTGATTGGACCCTTGAATACCGTGATCAAAGCCTTGACAAGCGCGCAGCTTCGGACTAGCAAGAATGAGGAGCTCTTTGATACCAAATTGTTGGAAGGCATCACTGAGGCCTTGACGAAGTTGACTCAGTTCAAAACTCGTTCCATGCCTCAACAATTTCCGCCTGCATTTCATGTCTATGTAGCGGTGTGGCCGCTATACTTGCACTACGTTCTGTTTTCATGGCTAGATATTTGTAAAAATAACTAGGGATAACTGTATTCATTGTTGCATGTATGCATGTGCATCATACATATTACATATATATATAATAGTTATGTTGAAATTATAGTGTATATATATATATCTGTATATGTATATGTATCTGTATATGTATATGTCTATTTCTTCACCTCCTATCTGTCAGTCTATGTATTGGTATATATATATATGTATGAATCTCTATCTATAAATATATAATACATATATATATATGTTTCTATCTACAAATATTCGATATTACTGTGTATCAGTCTGTGTATGTGACACCTTGCTCAGGTGCCACTGCTTTGATCAGCGCCTCTGCGCTGCAGAAACTGGCAGAGATGCCTCAGACATTCGAGAATGTTTCTTGGAATTATTCATGTCTTTTCAGTGTGACCACAAGCAGGCCGAAGTAGTTTCTTGTTCAGAACAACTCATTGCGTGTGGTCAGGTGGCCGACGTGCAAGCGAACGTCAAAGCAGCGCAGCAGGTTCTGACCGATGTGCGCAAGGTCTTCGCTGAGAAAGCTGAAGCCGCCAAGGCGGCCAAGGGAGAGGGTGCTCCCAAAGCGAAAGCTGGTGCGAAGAGAGCCGCAAAGGCCAAGGCAGCGCCGTAGGTCACTTTTTTTGCAAGAGGCTGAGTACATGCTCGTGGAGCAATTTTGATGAGCTGCTGGAAGCTATAGGCCAGATTCGCGTTGACTTGACTGCGGCAACCAAGAAATAAATTCTGTGTTTGGAGCCATATTTTAACATATCTCTTCGGAAAGCGGTGTCTCCGCTTCTGTGCGGTTCCCTCTATATAATGTGATGTTTAGCCAGATGAGCGGTGTGGCCGCTTGCTTTTGTCTCTTGTTAGCGGTGTGTTCGCTTTGCTCATGCTGTTTTTTGCGGTTGAAGTGTCCTCAAGCGGTGTGCTCGCTGCTTTTCATTGCACAAGATTCTCAGATGTACTCGCATTGCCACGTTTCCGCTTGCGGCTGCATCATAGGTTTAATCCACATGGATAGATAATGCAACAAAGTCAAGAATTTTTTATATTCCTAGCTTATCCATTGTAAAGATAGACCCATATATATATAGATATAAATATATTATATAAATATAATGTCTATATATATGTCTGTAATTTAGACAACTGGATAACGATGTAACAAGAAGACTGGAAATCCAGGATATAGCAAAGGTTTCCAATCAGAGCCCTGCCATGTCCAAAAAAAGACGACTTGATGACAAAACCACCCAAGATAAGATCCGCGCAGGTCTCAGTGTCAAGGGAGCTTCGGAGCGGGCTATGAACGAACTCTGGAATCTTCGGCAAGATGATGAAGGAAAAAAACTGACTCACAGTCAGTTTGGCCGCGTGGTCCATGACAACTTGGAACCGTGGTTAGCTACTGCGAAGCACGTTCAGTTTGATCGTCTGGATGGAGGGAAGGTGACCTTACCCATTACACGATTGCGGCCTTGCTTGGAAAAGATGACCGCCGAGTCTGCCGCTTTTACAAGTGCCCTTGAGAGAGCACTGGCAAACAATAGATCTTTGTCTCCCGTCTTCTATTCAGATGAATGTACAGCAGGAAACGTACTTTCAAATGAAAAGCCGAAGAAGGCTGTTCTCTGGTACATGTCATGGCTGGAGTGCTTTCACCTCCTCAAGGTCCCCACTATGTGGATATGTCTTGCTTCGGTGCAAACACAATGTATACAAGAAATAGTTGGCGGAACTTCGGCAGTGATGACTGCCATCTTGGCTGAGAATGTGTCGGAAGAGTTTGAGCGAGGCTTTATGTTGTCTGGAGGATTGCAGTTTAAGCAATCCTTAAAGGCCTTCTACCTTGCTGACATGGATGCCATCAGAGGCACATATTCCATCAAAGGATCTGCAGGTTTACGACCATGCATCCATTGTGATACTCTCAAAAAGGATTCTGGGCTTCTGGAGCACGAGGCATCCTACGTCGACATCAGCGCCTCATCTGGATTCAATTTGAGCTCTGATGCCTCCATTTTTCGAGAATGTGATAGAATGAAACATTGCAGGACAAAGGCACAATTGGACATGCATGAAAAGGCGACGGGCATTGTTTATGATGTCGCGACCTTGATGTTCTCCCAGTCAGAGCGACAAAAAATGCCTCCGTCACGGATCATCTCTGACTTCATGCATGTCTATCTTTGCAACGGAGTCGCCTCGTGGGAAGTGGCACTGCTGTTAGAAACGCTCTTTTCCCGGACTTCGTTGACATTGGATCTATTGCAAGAGGCAGCAGTTTCTGACGCCTGGAAAGGTTCAAAAGGTGCAAAGAAAACCCCTTCGTATCTCAAACACCTATTTTCCCACAAGAACTTTGGCGAAGGACATTACAAAGGAGAAGGTCATCAAACGCGTGCCATCCTTCCCCTGCTTCGTTTTTACTTGGAAACCATGATGGAACCTGCAGGCTCATTGCCTGTTGAGTGCTGCAAAAGTTTCAAAATTCTCTGCGATATCGTTGCGTACGTGCGACACCTTGCACATGGCTTTCAGAGGGTGGACAGCAAATCGATGAGCCACCTGGATGAATTGCAGAAGATGCCCACAAACACTTTGGAACGGCATATCACAATGAGTTCAAACCCAAGCACCACCACCGACTGCACATTCCTAGCCAATGGATGACAGCAGGTGTCGTCATCAGCTGCGAGCCGCTCGAAACGAAGCATCAACTTTACAAAGATGGCCTAGCTGATCGACAGAGGGGAAAGCTGAAAGATTTCGAGGCATTTTCCACGGCAGTGCTGCCCAGGATACTACAAAAAAATCTCGACACGATCCTGAGGGTCGGATTTCCCTTCTGGGAGCTGTTGTCGCCGATCCATGAAGCCGCTCTGGACGACAAGATTTTTTTTGCGGCTGCAAGTCTTCAGACAAGCGTTCGTTTCTCGGATTAGGTCTTATACAAGTTAACAATGAGCATCATGTTTTAACATGCAGAAAGCCGGCCACCCTACTTGTGTGGTAGCGGTGTGGCCGCTTAGGAGGTATCTACATGCTGATATAGGGTATATACTAACAGTGTAAATCTCCTATACCGTGAACATTCATCAAGCATAGATATAACAACATGTTCTTTTAATTTACTCACTGGCTCCCAGCTGAGGTTGCCACCTTCTTGCAAGTGAACTTTGCGAGGGTGATGTCGTGTGTTGGAAGCGTGAAGCTGGCATTGTCCAGAGATTTTTCAATTATCCTGGACGTGGTCTCTATGTGCGCTACACCAAGTTGAACTTTGTTTCTAAATGGCATATAGATGTCATTTGGACTCTTAATGTTTGCAAAACCATGCATATGTTATAATCTCTCTACTTTATGCATTTCTTTTTCATTCTCATCACAATGAAAGTCTGAAACAAGCATTCCAGGTTGAAGAACAAGGCTGGGGCACCACTTGGACCAGGACAAAAGAGATTCTTACTCGTCTGATCTCCACCTCGCAGACTCTTAGCATTCCTCCTTGGTACAAGTTCTCGGCCGACGAGATGTATATCACCTGCCTTCACTGAAGAAAAATCAAGCGGCAAGCGTCTTTTGCCATAGTACATGTGTGATTCTGCAAAGTCGATATATATTCAGGCGCTATACTATAGGCTCTGATCTTCAAGCACTTCGATTGCACAGCATTGTACGGTGATATATATATATATATATATGTGTGGAAGAACTTGTTTGAGCGGTGTGGCCGCTTATATATATATATATATGTCTGATTGATTCTTAAAAAATATAGCATACGTGTAGACATGTCTAAATATATCATCTCAAGAGCGGTGTGTCCGCTGCTCATCAGCACAGCTGGAAATTCTTTTTCATCCCCAGACTTCTTGATCAAGATCTCGCCTCAGGAGCTGTATATTGATTCCCGACTGGGTGCCATGACGAAAGAAGAGCTTTTGCAGTTGGCGACCGTGATTGCTGTCGAGGTTGCCACCTGGTCTCATGAGGACCAAGACCGTTTGGAGGCATGCCGCGAATTTTGTCGTAGTACTTGCAGCCTTTTCGGTTTGGTGGAGCAGACCATGCCCTTAGCGCACCTATGGATCCTCATCACGATGATCGAATGCAAGCTTGGTGGATGCTCCGGTGCGGACATTGACGAATCTGGCATGGCAGTTCCGAAAAAATGGGCACCGTGGACGGACTGGCATAAGTTGAATTACTACCAGCGCATTGCTTTCCTGAAGGAGATTCATATCATGCAGTATGTCCTGCCGCGGTTGGAGAATCATGCCCCCGTACTTTTCGAGGCAGTGTTCAAGCTTTGCAAAGAAATCAGAGCCATGATTTCCGAACCTTGACCATGCATCAGCTCCCGCTGGCGGTGAGGTATAAAAAAAAAAGCGCTTTTGGTAATGCAATCACCTCTCAGCAAAGGTTTCCACTTCTACACTGAAAGCGGTGTGTTCGCTCAGGTTTTAGCAACCTGTCCCCTGTACTAACTTATTGACGCATCTATATATCGCAATAATCCGATACACCATGATTATTCCACAACAAAGCGGTGTGGCCGCTCCAAAAAATCACCGATACAAGCGGGGTGCCCACGTATATTTGGCAGACATTAATTTGCTATATGCGCAAAGTCACTATATATAACATCACATGTAATCCATATACGCTGCCTGCTCCAAAAGAAAACAAAAAATATAATACGCTAACACCTTAAGCGCATATGCAAATCCTAACTGCTGAAACTGTGTCTTCTGCGCTGACAAAACATGTTCAGACGTGTGCAAACCCAATACTTTTCACTTTTTTGCCTACTTATCATTAAAACATTGTTTTTGCATTTTTTTACCTGATTCTACTTATCTACTTAAGGTCTACCTATGTTCTACTTATAACCTACTTATTTCTACTTATGTTAAATAAGCTTTTTTAAATTAACATAAGTAGAAAATAAGTAGTTCATAAGTAGGTTAAGTATATGCAAGTAACTTATAAGTAGATAAGTAGGACCAGGCCATCCTGTAGTACAGCCAGCACTGTTCTCCCAGGCCTACGAGCCCAATTTGAAGCAGCCCCGCCCAACATGCAACGGTACTCCCGCTTTGTGGATTCAGAACTGCTGGCAGGCACCGCCATTAACTTTCCACGGTCCCTCGTACGCCTCGCCTGGATCTTGCAGCATGCCGCTACTCTCCTACCCATGGCCGGAGACATACAAGCAGTGTTAAATTCCCAGACCGCCGGAGTGAGTGACATCCATGCTTGGGGGTTAATGCTTCCCTCTAGCTCTCGGGTTAGCCCTGTAACATACCACGCAGTGGTTGCTGTTCGCTATCCTGATCTATGCAGACAGATTAATGGCCTGTGGGAACTGGGAAGCTTTGCCTCGGGAGGACTTCCCGACAAGCCACCAGGGTTCCAACTCGTGCTTTGGGATACTAATGCTAGGATCAACGGGTTGGTAGCGACAGACCTTGAGACTCTTGTGGCAGAGGTCCTCACTCCGTTCCCGCACAACGCTGGATTTGCAGATGGACTTTTTACCATGACCACGGCTACAGATCACAAGAACAACTTGAACCGCTCCGTGCTTAAAAGGGATTACGTCCGCACCCTGCGTGTAGAAACAATAGCCAATTCAGCAGGAGGAACAGCACAGGTATCAATCGTAGCTCAGCCCAGTATAGGATTTTTGAATACCAAATACTACTCCAACGGCTCCCCTACAGAAGACACCGAAGACTGTCTCGGCAGAATCACGGTAGGACTCACTCGATCCAAATCATTAACTTTGCTTGTCTCCCCGCTAGACATGATGGGACTCATGGGCATGGCGCAGGTGATTGCGACAATTGCATATGGCATCCGGGGCCTCAGGAGAGGGCAAACGACATGGAGTTGGCCTGACTTTAACCCTGACCCAGCTCAAGAGAATCTAGCGCAGTTAAGCCGATGGTCACTCAACGCGGCACCAACCTGGGAGTTCCCTCCACTTGCAATCGCCAACCAATACTACGATCAGCACGACGACGAAGTGAAGCGAGCGAGATACCGCTTAATATTGGTGCGTGGATCGGACCTTCGCTGGTTAAACAGGGAGCGTCTCCAAGAAGTCCAAGCAGGCCTAGAATCTCACCACAAGTGGCTCCCCGAGCAGGATCTCCCTTTTACTGAAGTCGTCCTGTATGCCTACGCGGCTGATCGCACACCCTATCCCACCTACGTGTGCCTGCCTTCAGGACTGTACAAAGCCCGCACCGGGCAAGTAGTAGCGCAGACGGCCCAGGAAAGGAGATCCTGTCCCTACCTGGTATATACTTCTTTGATGGATGGAGATTACACCCTAAGCTGCCGATTCCAGACCACTTGCCACGCGCAAAAGAGGCGCCAGTTCAAGGTACCGCTCTAACTGCACCCGCACCTGGTACGGAACCCAAAAGGTCGCCTGAAGAAGAAGCGAGAGACATCCTTGCAGTGGCTGCCAAGAATCAGCCCGAAGATGGGCCAAACACAAGAAGAGCAGCCGTCCGCGCATGTAAGTACTTAAGAGCTATGGTCAACCAATATGAGTCCACCATCACTGCAGTACATCTAGCCGCCCGCACACATACGCAGAAAAGCAAGGGCACGGTAGGACCAGCAGTTGACTATCGCCCGCAAGGAGAAGCCCTCCCGGTCATCTCCGCGGACCTGACCTCCGAATTACTGCATTGCTTGTCCACGCTCCCAGACCCATGGCCCCTGGCCAAGATCACCATAGACATGGAAAAACCGAGCCAGTGGGTCTCCAAGTTGTGCAGACTCTACTTCGCTGATGAGTATGCCAAGCGAACGATTGGACTACCCTCACGTCGGCATGTCCCAGACATTGCGGGTGCGCTGCGAGCAGTCCAAGCCATCCTCCCCAAACTCGAAGTCAAAATGATTGAATTCTTAGCTGAATGGATGGTCACTCTGTTAATGCCAGCATCGCACGTATTGGAAGTGAGGGCACCTCACCTTTCCTTTATGATGCTCAAGGAATACTGGTTTCGAGAGCTGTACCTAGGTCTGAAAGTCACAGCATCCTTCGACCGCTCCGAATCTTACACCAGGGTAGTCGATGGTCAGGTTAGATGTATCACGCCTGAGGTTAAACCGCAGAATTTGCAGGTCATTTGGAACGTGCAGTTTATAACAGTTTTTGTGCCGGCATGGATGATCCCGCCCGTTTACCATAGCCTGCGCAGAGAAAGCATCAAAACCGCTAGCTCTGCAAGTCCCATTGGTGTCCAGTCGGTCCGCCCTACCTGGTTTGAAGACACAACACCTAAGGATGCCACATCCCAACCACCTCAAGACCCTCCAAAAGAACAACCTCAGCCGTTGCACGGGCTAAAATTAGTCATCAAAGAAGAGGTGCTACCGGCGAATGACCAACCAGAGTTCCCATCACTCGCACTGTTGGCTGCCAGAGGCCTTCTAGCACCCGACACGTGGAAGTGCAAACGTGCGCAAGTTAGCCTCAAAGCAACCATTGATGTCCCAATGCTGGGCACAATCATAGAGGAAAATGGCGATGGACTCCTTGAAGACTCCCACATGCCGGTGGGATGGCCATTGCACATTGATGGTGCCGTCAGACAATGTTGTATTCACCGAGCCGCTAGCCTGCAAGAATTAGACGATATGCTCAAAGAATATGACATGAAAAGAGATTCGGTTGAAATCAACCATGATGCGCCTCAATGGTCCCATCATGCAGTATGGAACCGCAAGTATATGGAACCTAAACCAGGATATACACTAGCACAACTATGGGCTGACTCCGAACCAGCCATAAGCAAGAAAACGACCACGTCCTATGAAGTTCACACAAATGACATCTTGCGTGCAGTAGCGGACATTAGCTATCTCCCATCCCCCCTGCCACCTGATAGCCCCTTCCTAAGTGCGTTAGGGACAACAGCTGCTCTCAAAGCCCCGCCGCAAACTGACACCCTAGCGCAAAGAGCCTTGGAGGAATGGGAACGCACCTTGTGTGAAAATAAGGCAGTGGCAATCCTCGCAGAGGTACAAGCCGGCCGACCAACTATAATCCACAAGGATGGTGGCGAAATGCTCATTGCAATTGTCCTTGACAAGCCATTAGCGGAAGCGAAGGAACTAGTTGACAATCCTGCAGCATTCACGCGCGAAATGACGCGGATCCTGCGCGACAAACAAACCCACCCACTCATCGCCCAAATGATGAGACCCGCGGAGAGCAGTGATCCACCCGCCGCCACTGCGGCAGCCAGTAGCGCCAGTAGCAGTGGAGAACCACGCACTGCCGCACACGTGCAGTTCCAGTAAGCCAGTTGAGGTAACGTAGAGTACCCAAACTTCCCATCCATGCATTCAGCCTGTAACTCGATTTTGGTTGAGGTTGTTGTCACCATGGGGTACTCATGGTTGATTACTACCCGCTCCGATTACCCTTGTTTGCAACATGCCAGAGCCAATACGGGACGGGAGGTGATGGGGGGCGGGTATAATTATTCTTTTCTGGGTCTTTTCTGGGTGTGTTGGTTGTTTT